ATAATGTTTACTTACTATTGGCTAAGGTCAAGGACTTAATCGCAGCACAAGCTTCTTCTTCTTCTTCCTCCTCCTCCACCACCTGTTCCTCCTCCTCTTCCTTTTCCTCCTCCTCCTTTTCCTCCTCCTCCTCCTCTTCCTCCTTCTCAGTTTCCTGATTCGTACTGCACTCGCTGTGCGCGTCTTCCTCGTCGCTCTGATCCGACAGTCCCGGACTGGCTGGATCCGTGTCCGAGGGCACGTACAGGTCCGAAAGCATGAAGTGGGCGGACGTAACGATCTGCGGGTATTTCTCTTTGGCTAACAGCTGAACGCAATTCTTCAGCAGCATCCTGATCGTGCCCTGGTGGCGATGGTAGTCGGCAGAGTACTTCATATTGCGAGCCACCCTGTACAACAGCATTGCGACCGGCACGGTGAAGGGATTCTGCCCCTTGTCCTCGGAGACGTCGCTGCACAGTGACGTTAGGTCGTATAGCTTCACAACGTCGTCATCCTTACCTGACAGGGATGTACAAATAAGAATACGTTCCGTGGAGCCGATAGAAAAATAGTTACAGCTTATAAGCTTCATAAAAGATAATTGTAGCTTCAGGCATGGGAGCGGCATAGCTGCCAAAAATGGTAGGAAAAGTGAGCTCTACTTTTAGACAAGAAGACATGTTCTAGGTGTGGTCATGATAACCGTTTTCTCAGATTTGTTTGTTAAAAACTCGTTTTAGCTTGCTCCCTGCAGTTTATAAGTTGCAAACTAGACGAAAGGTGTACTACTTACCTTTGAACAACCAGTAAGTGTGACCAGCCTTGGTCGCGTTGTTCTTCAGGAAACTCAGGATATTCTGGGCTACATCTCTGATCACCTTTGGACTGAACTTGGAGTGATCCATGTTCGGAAGATCCTCGGTCTTGATCAGTTCGTATTTCTGCACGATACCGTGCAGATGGTAACACATCACTACCTCGGGAACATTGCACATTAAGTTATCTAACCAGTAGTCGATCCCCGTCAAAACGTTGATGGGTTTCGACATGTCCCTTAAACGTAAGCTTATGCACGGATGCGTCTGGCCGCCGAATATCGGCATGTCAGTCCCGACGAGCATCTGTATATTCTCGAACGTCCACACAACGTTCCGCGCGAAATTATGATTGTAACTCGGATCAGGTACTTTCTCCTCCTGCGTCGGCTCAGGCAGGCATGGTTCTAACGTTTTAACAGGTAACTCGGGCTTCTCATTCTGCTTTTCGGTGTCCGCCAGCACGATGGAGTGATAGAGAAATTTGGACACCAAGTTCCTCTGCTGCAAGCTACTTCGGCTGTACGCCTTGTGAAACAGCCGCTTCTCCGTGTCACCGAGGTTCTGAAAGATGTGCTCGTAGAAGAACTTCTTCAGCCATTCCCAGTCGTTCTCGGCTTGCCTCAGCAGATACTTGTGGATGTCAAAGTCGTCCAGCAGCAACGTGTTCTCGATACGATGCACCATCATCGAGATCACACCGTGATTGTAAGGCAGCTTGAGTAACTTCTTGATGTTTTCCGCGTCGGACACTACGTCAACCTCACCGACACAGTCTGGAAACATGTGCGCCATGCGAAAGCTGGAGAACCCCGTGCTCTGGGACCAAACGTTCTGCAGGCCGTAACTCTCCGCCGAGCTGCTGAGCCAATTGCTAGGCGGCATGTTCAGGTCTGTGTTACATTGTAATTGAGCGTAGGTCGCCGGTGTCGGCACCGCGGAATATTTCACCACCGCGGTGGATTTCACAGGCTTCTTGGGAGAATCCGGCGGTATTGCCAGGGCCATTGACTTCATCTGTAATATTTCAATTCGAGGCAACTCTCACGATACATGTTTCTTTGTTCGTTAATTTGTCGGAGATACATGTTATTCGCGAATAATAAAATCATATTTTGCACATATCGAAACATATATATATATGTATACATATATTGACTCATGAACTTACCGCATCATCGGATATGATATACGAATTTTTTGACATCTTCGTGCATTCCACGTGCCTCCCCAAAATAATCACTCCACTCGGAACGCTTCCAGAAGGCTCGAATACACAGCCGGCTGCAATACAAAGAATACACGTGTGGTTAGGAACAGCTTGATCGATGAATCGATGGTCGATTCGGCGTTCGCCGAAGGATCGATTGTCTCTCCTCGATGCTTTCGAATTTGAATGATTTTTCTAGGTAGATGTTTCAGAAAATATCGTTGCTTGAGATATTGCTGCAATGCTGCTACGTATCCCTGCTTTTGAAAAAAAAATGCAAATCATTTGTAATTATCGGAAGGATGACTCGACCTCCGAACGCCGGGGAGAGCCTCCGTGAGAGTAAATGCGCCGGCAGTCTGGAGATGGCGCCCTCATCCAAGCCTTCCTGCACCTTTCCAACGCGAGAAGTGATTTCAGAGTTTTGTTTTGAGATGTAAACGAGCGCGTTATTCTCCAAGCTGGCAGCAGCTCTCATCTTCTCAGAGCTAATATGCATTCAACGCGATATCCTTCGAGTATTGAAGAGGTTAAAGCCGCGCAGCGGAGTACCGAGACACGCAGGCTGAGCAATCTCCGTATCCATATTGAAAAAAGTATACTGAAAAACTTATTTGTGACATACAAGATTTATTTTTCGCAGAAAAATAAACTTTACGTCCTACGAATAAATTTTTAAGTACTTTTATCACGGTGTAGCGAAGATGAAACCGAGCTACTCCGGAAGGAATCGGCGAAAACAATTTTAAGACTGTATTCACTTAAAATTGTATTCGCTGAGCATCAAACTATTTTTTTTGTGATTCGCTTGATAGTGTTTAGAGTTTCGGCTAAATCAACCTTACGTGGCTCAAGTCTCTAAAATTGACTCAGCCGAGACTCGAACCATTTGGAACTGATTTAGCCGAGACTCAAACCATTTTTTAACGATACAATGGAAAGTGCGCTAATGAAAGTGTTTCAAGAATTCTTGTGGCATGGCCACTCTCTCTCGTATGAAAATTTTACTCTTGAAGTCATTTATGAAGTCATGATGAATATGTTACAATGAACATTATAATGAAGGCTATTAAGTTAGAAAACCTAGAATCTATATATAATATACGGCATTACGTAATATTTTCTCTTATTTTAAACCTTGTATACTTAAATTTACACGAATAGTGATAACGCGTTCTTCATTGCGCTCTAATAAATTGCACAATTAATGATCATACGAGGGAACACATCGTAATAGCAAAAGTTTCAAGTTCTGCGCATCGATTTCGTCGAAGCCTCGAAGCCTTCGAAACGAAGCCCGAGAAGCCCGAAGATCAGCGGGACGAATCAAAGTTACGATGATGCATATTACGGCTGCCTCCAAGAATAAAAAAAAAAATAACAAGAGAAGAGAAAAATAGGCTGGGGATGCGCATACTTGCGAAAGTTTTTCTCCCCTTCTCAACGCGATATCGCGCTCGGAATTAAATTGTTCGTCACCGCCTGAAGAGAGGAGGAACGCGCGGCGTTACGCTGCGTCATAAATAATCCGCGTCGCGCGCGAATATCTCGGAAACGCTGGAACGTCACGGCGCGTGCGAGCCGGACGCCGCTTCATCCGCGCGCCTAAACGCCTTAGGAAGCCCTTGCGAGTCAATCACGCCTGGTTACCACCAGCCCACCCGATATATATAGGTTCCCCGACCCGGTCGCCCGACGACCCAGTCATCTTCCGACCGAGAGAGCAAGAAGGCGAGCGCACCTCCATCACGATCATGGTGGCGAATTTCAAGGTCTACAAGAAGTGCTCGCCCAACGGTAAACTCGCGGTTTACCTGGGCAAACGCGACTTCATCGACTACCTGTCGGGCATCGAGCCGGTGGACGGGGTGGTTCTGATCAGTCAGGACTACGTGGACAACAGCAGGAAGGTGTGGTGCCAGCTGGTATGCAGCTTCCGATACGGTCGCGAGGAGGACGAGGTGATGGGTCTGAACTTCCAGAAGGATCTCTACCTGGTGTCGGAACAGATCTTCCCGCAGATTAAAAAGCCCGAGTCGAATCCCACGAAGCTGCAGGACAGGTCGGGAACTCTCTTTTAGCCTTACTCGTAAGATGGAGAAAAGAGTATACCGGGAAACACGTGTATCTGCGCTGAAGAGAAGAAAGCGCTACGTTCAAGTAACATTTACTTGATCCGAGTAAAACAAATTTGTTAAGGAACATCGGAGTAGTAATTATTTCCTCGGATGTAGCACTTTTTTATCCTACAGCGTGTTTTTAACCTCGACGAGTCTTTGTTGAGAATCGAACGGGGAACCGTGCGACATGTTTCGAGGATGATTCCGTCGCCTGACGACGGTCCTTAGTAACGTTCACTCCCCGTCGTTGCCGGACGCTCATCCGATTATTTTGTACTCGCCTCGACACACTTTTAATGAACCGAGCGCGCGAAGCTCGGCGAGTCGAGTTAAATTACAAGATTAGCGAGCGGAGAATTAATATAAGGATTACGCCATCCAAACAGGTTGCTGAAGAAACTGGGCCCGAGCGCGATACCCTTCACCTTCACCTTCCCGCAGTGCTCGCCGTCCAGCGTGACCCTTCAGCCCGGGCCGAACGAGATCGGCGAGCCTTGCGGCGTCAGTTACTACGTGAAGGTCTACTGCGGCGAGACGGAGACCGATCTGACTCACAAGCGCAGCACCGTCACGATGGGCATCCGGAAGATCCAGTACGCGCCCACGAAGCAGGGCCGGCAGCCCTGCACCGTCGTCCGCAAGGACTTCCTCCTGAGCCCGGGCGAGCTCGAGCTCGAGGTCACGTTGGACAAGCAGCTTTACCATCACGACGAGGCGATCGCGGTAAACGTGTGCGTGCGCAACAACAGCAACAAGGTGGTGAAGAAGATCAAGGCGATGGTGCAGCAGGGTATCGACGTGGTGATCTTCCAGAACGGCCAGTTCAGGACGGTGATCGCCGCGGTCGAGACACAGGACGGCTGCCCCGTCAACCCGGGCTCGAACCTGCAGAAGGTGCTCTACCTCAAGCCCGAAATGGAGAGTAACAGGCACCGCCGCGGCATCGCCCTGGACGGCATGATGAAGAGGGAGGAGGGCGAGCTCGCGTCCAGCACTCTGCTCACCTCGCCGGACGTGCGCGACTCCTTCGGCATCGTCGTCTCCTACGCGGTCAAGGTCAAGCTTTACCTGGGCGCCTTGGGCGGCGAGCTAACGGCCGAGCTGCCGTTCATCCTTATGAGAACCAAACCGTCCGAGCGGGTCAAGCTGATGCCCACGGACAGCGTGATGATCGAGGACATCCCGGAGAAGGAGGGGAAAGTCAGCTCTTAGAGGTCGACCGAGTTCTTAAATTATGCTGAACTCTTAGAGAGAAAAATATCCTTCTTTTCGGCGACAGCAATATTCTTTCTTCATTTCAACCATCGAAATGGTGGTTTTTTTTCTTTTTTTAGTAAATGTTACTATAATGACGATAACCTTACGTGCATGTTGTTTTTGTTAAAATAAAAAAAAGAATATTGTCCCTGAAAATAATTATGTTTTTCTTTCAGCGGTTAACTGATCCTCGAGGGACTTCCCTCGCGACTTCGACTCGTCCGCGATTCGTTGCTTCGCGCATTGGACACACTATGGATAGCGACGGGGACGTTCTGGAACCCGCCTGGAAGCTGTCTAACGGGTCTCCGAATGCGTCGGTGGTTCTCTTAACATTGTTGACCGATCGTTTCGTTCCGGCCTTGCGTCGGCCCTCGGGAATCTTGTCTTATCATTCTCAAAACAGGAGATAACTCCTGGGGCCAGTAGCGTTCCAAACTAACGAAACACGGGTCTCCACGTGATCGGTCAACAATGTATTAGAAGCCTTTCAAGACTCGCCTGGCGTTATAACTTTCTACGTCGTTCATATGGGCGCTCCCGCAGTGAATCGCTTCGCACCGAGAAATATTGGACTGGTTAGTTAATTAGTCCAATATTTCCGGACTAACTAACATTAGCTCGTTTATGCACCGAGGGAGAAATATTTGGTATTTGCAATTACGATCGTAGCGAAAGAATCCGGAGAACCATTTTTTCAGTAACTTTTTGCAGTGTCAGCGATAGTAACCTTACACGCATATCGTTATTGCTATTTTTGTGGTTAAAAAGAAAGGTTGAAAGATATAGAAAGTTAAAAACATAGAAAGAAAGAAAAAAATATAGCTGAAGCCGAAAGTAACTCTCTCGTAATCTCTCTCAGCGTGCGTAATTATATAATCCGTTACATTCACTCTTCAGGAAGCGATTTATCACGACGGGTCGTATCGATCCTTTCGATATGTATTATATTGTTAGTTACAAAACTCGCATCAGTCGCAACACTTACTTCCTCAACATGTTTCGCAACGCACCTCGTATCGCACGATAATAAAAAAAATATATATATCCCCTGAGAACCACTAAGAAACAAATTTTCCTATTGAAAACAGGATGCGTTGCGAAATTTATGAAAAAAAAATATAAAATAAAAATAAAATAAAATGTTGCAACCTTTCTGGAGCTGACCATGCACGAAATCGTAGAAATGAAATTCGCCAAATTGCGCCGTATTACCGAAACCACTGATTAATTAAGAACTCCCAATTAATTAAGCATCCCCCGTATATTGTAAACGTATCGGCTCGCAGCTCGCCACTTTTATTCGGCTGCTAAACGCGCGGCACGGCGTTGTCACGAGATACACACCTCGCAAGATCAATAAAACATAGCAAACGTACGCACCATGCACTGAATTGACGTTCCTCTGACGACGACGACGACGTCGAGGAAACGAGAGCCCCTCCTTCGCGATACATAACCTTCACCCTCCTCGCGCCTTTCTCAATTAAACCCTCCCGATCGGCTCCCGCGCAGCCGAGGAGACCTCGTGAGCGCGGTCTCTCCGAGGTCATTCGGACACGACGTGGGACAGAATGTGCGTCGATATCTGCCTCCCGGCCGGGGAATCTCGTCCATGGGCACTCGAGGGGCCCTACGAGAAACCACAGGCGAGCCAACGGGCGCTCCGCGACTCGCCGCTCTGACTCGCTCGCGTGCTCGCTCCGCCACATACGGGGTGTCGATCTAATTCCCGACTTCCTGCCGAGGAGAAGCGTCCGAGGCGAAGGGCATGGGCCGAAGGAAAACCACCCGATACGTGCGATGGGCGTCGGTGGAGCGGCGGAGAGAGAGAGAGGGGGGAGGGAGAAAGAGAGGCAGCGCGAGAGGCGACGTCGGCGGCAAAACGAAGAGAGGGAAGGCAGAGACAGAGAAAGAGAGAGAAAGAGGAAGACAACAAATCGGAGAGTGCGAAGGGGTCGGTCGACCGGCTCCGCGATCCGGAGCCTCGGAGCCGAGTGTCAGTCAGGCTCGAGACACCCGCGCGAACGGTACGAGAGCGGCGGTGGTTGCCTTCCCTTTTTCGATACGTTCCTCAGATGCGCCCCCTTCAGCGTTCTCCACCCACTCAGCCGAGACAGTAATCTCTCTCCCTGTTCGGTCTGTCCACCCGCTGTGCTCTTCCTCTCTCTCGGAGCAGTGTCGCGCGGAGTGTCGCACGAGAGGCGCAGGAGAGAGAAAGAGGGAGAAAGAGAGAGTGGCGGTTATCACCCGGCGTCGCTCGTTATCACCCCGCGCACTGCTCCCTCCTGCTCCTCTACGGTCCCCCTTTCGCCGCATTCGCGTTGTGTGTCCGCGACCGCCCGGCAGCGAGGAGAGCGAGCGCGCACGCACGGCTGGCGGATAGCAGCAGGACGCTCGCAGGCTGACGACGCGACGAGGAGGCGGGTGTGGATATCCACGGCCTAGTGTGAGTACTCTTTTCGACGTTCCAAGTACATCTGAGATTACTCGGCTCGCAGACAGTCCCCGATTTTCGCTCGCTACTCTCCCTCTCTCGTCTGACTTTCTTCGCGTTTCCTCTCGGCTCGAGGGAGGCCTTCTCTCTCGCGAACGTCCCGGGATCGATTTCCTCGTATACCCCGCCATCGGCGCCGCCAACGCCGCCAACGATGACGAGCCCTCGCCCTTCCAACGGCCGCACGCCACTTTTCGCTTTCTCTCTATCCGTCTTTCATCTCGCGACTTCGCGGCGGTCGCGAATTCACTCGAGACGACGGGCTCTCCCACGGCATCCTGAAGATGTCACTCGGCGGGGGCGACGTGGTGCGCGACTATCGACCCGCGACGAACGACGTGCTCGAGGGGCACCCCGGGGACCCTTGTGTGCGTGTCCAGCGCGAAGATGCCGGCGAATTTCGGTCCGCGCAAAAGGGCGTGAGAAGGAGCGCGTGCCGGCCGATCGTCCCGAGAGCACGAGTGATCTCGGGTAGACCAGGCTTTCGACGAGCTGCTCGTCACGCCCGTATCTTGACCTTCGTCCGTCGACATGTTTACCGTGAGCGTTCCAATCCGATTCGTCCGATACGTCGAAAGGCCGATCGAGCTGAGCCCGAACGTCGACACACGAAACGGCACGCGAAGTCTGCTGCGTTTCGCGTTGAATCCGAAATATGTAAGGGCACTGTTCTATTTCGAAAGGGGTAGTCGATCGGGACTGTCTCGGAGCAAGGTCGCGCAGGTACGAGGCTTTAATGTCGCGCGAAGATACGCCGGTAGGTTCTTCATACCGTTTCCGCTTTAAATATCCATACAACGTTGATATCTGATGATCAGATCGTGATATTTTTCTACGTCAGCCTGCACGGAGGAAGTGGTAAAAATTATCACGAAATTACAAAATTTTGTAATACTGCATCATACCGGACTTATAATTGAAATTATTACGCGTGTTGCAATCTTTAGTGATATGTGCACCTGATTTACGTTACTAAAAAGATTACGCAACGCACATTACAATTTCAGTCATCATTCCGGTATGGTCCGACATTACAAAATTTTGTGCCATTTTTTTTCTGCTGCCAATATCTTTCCCTTCTGTAAGATAATTAATTCCCAAAATAGTTCATCGAGGAGTAGATACGTCGGAAGGGGAAAAAGGCATCAGAATCCGAGGTCTAATGAGAAAAACGGGGTTACGATACACGGTAATATCGGACACGATGCAGTTTCGTGCATATCTCGATAATATCTTGGTCAAACAAAGATAATATAAGAGATATCCATCGAAGTGAGGAAAACGGAGCGCCGGTGGTAATTGCGCGCGAGAGAGAGAGCGGATCCTCTGAAGATCTCGCCTGAGCGATAAACTTAACACGTGACAAGAACTGAATAGAGTACGTAAGGTTCGTACACGTTCGCAACAGATTCCGTGCCGAATGATTAATACGCCACTGTTTGTAAATATAGCGGTCACGAGTGAAAAAGTGGCCGGCCGCGCGCGCGATGGAGAGAGAGAGAGAGAGGTGCTACCACAACGCGAGTAGCGAGCGCGACGAGTAGAAACCTTCTAGGAGGAAGTGCTCGCTCCTTCGCCGCTGTCGGCCTGGTCATGGTATATACCTGGTTGTTTATGGCGCCATAACAGTGAGAGTGCTTACACGAGAATACATCTCGAAGGGAAACACAGCCCGGGGATTTCGTCGAGACACTCTTATTCGAGCCCCGGCGAGAGCTCCGTCTCGCGGCGGTATCTTTTATTTAATGCGCGAGCTGCACCGCAAACTTGACTTCTCGCGTGTGCTGACAAAAATTGTACGAATCGAGGAAACGAGCGAAATTTTCTCGCCGGGGAGGGAAATCGACTCGGCAGCGCGAGCTTCTTCGGCAGAACACGGGCGCGAAATTTCAAACGCGACACCGCGTCCAGAGAGATTTGTTCGCTTATTTATTTTATTAAATACACGGGAAGAAATCTTTTCTTTCTTTTACAAAAAATGAGTCTGAAAAAGTGTCTATTTTGTTTCGAAATAAAATTTTGCCGCTTGAAAAATGACGGGCCTCAAGCTTGCGATATTTCAATCCGCAAGAGGCGTCAAGACAAATTATTTATTTATTTATTTACGGACCTTTTTCAGAATAACGGCGAGAATACGAGAATGAAAATAAATTAACGAACAATTATAAAAATTATGATTACGGTGTTTGACGACGCAAAATGATTCGTATAAAAAGAAAAGAGACAGGGCCATTCACATAAATATGGCCGGATCAGTGATGAAATTATTATTACTATCATCATTCATTTTATCAACGGAATATAATCCCTCTCAGTACAGGGGACATAAATTGTAAAAAGGATTTCAGATCAAAAATATTCCGTAAATATGTCGCGGATATTACATCGTAGATCGCGAGACGGCTCAAGCGGGGTTCTCGCGAGCGCGCGCGGCACGCGCGCGGATTGATCGCAACAGGCCTGAAAATAGATCGTACACGATGCGATGAATAATCGCGGATCGTTTGATCCCGACTTGCAACGCGAATCGACTTCCGCCGATTCGAGCCGCCTGCGACGGTCGCGAATTTCTCCCCGTTTATCGAGAAGTACTTTTGCGTTTCGGTCGCGCGCGCGCGCGCCTACCGTCGCCGCAGCCTTACTTACTCTTTTACTCACTCTCGTCCGGATGGACCGGTCGCGATCCGCGGAGTCCCGGCTCCGTTCCAGTCCCGCGAGTTCCGTTAATTATCTCGCCGCTGAATAAAATATATCCCGGCCGGGGATCCGGTACCGATGTAACTTGTCTTCTCCCGAGAGATCGGACGTGTCGCGGTTAACACCTCTCGCGGATCTTCGTGTCGCTTTAACGCCCGGAATACGCTCGTCTCGTCTCGCGAGACGTAAATTGAGCCGTCGCACGCGCGGACCACTCGGATCGTTTCGCCGGCGAATGAAAATCCGTTCTGAGGGAATAACGAAGTACCGAAATAGCGAAATACCGCGACGGAATACCGACGATGACGCTCGAAAGCGCGCGCGAATGACGGACAGGCGGCGTCGTCGCCGGGGAAGGATGTAGGGGTGGGCTAGATGCCTCATATTTTAGAATTTCGAAGTTACAACTTTGCGGATAACTAATTGTCGCGGCCGACTGTAGAAACATGATAGAGACAGCCTTTTTCTATGTTAATATCCAAGAAAATTTACTATCCTTTGATAAAACACTCTCTCTCCCGAAAGTGTGTTTAATAAATGAATAAATTGGACATAATTTTTCGAATTAACTCGAGAGAATGTGTGAAATATCAGATAAATTCGATAACATAGGTTGGTGAAACGTGCGATCTTCTTCGTCGTGAACGCGAAGGGACGCTCGTCGAAGAATCGGACGACGATCGATGGGGAAGAACCGGACTTATCCGTGTCCGAATCTGGACGGTGGTGGTGGTACGGCGACGGGCTCGCGAGTGCAAGACGGGGCAGGCGGTTCGTTATTTGCGGTTGTCGGGCGACCACATGTAAATCACGTCCGTCGAGAAGAGACTTTCGGCGGCGGCCGCGCGCCAAATCGCCGATCCCGAGGAAGCCGTACAAGAGAGAGAGAGAGAGTAACTGGGACGATGACAGAGGTGACTCGCTTTCGACGAGGTCGAATCGAGAGTCGACCCCCGATGGTCGATGTCACGGAGCGAATCGCTATTAATTCGGGAATTGAATGGGGGAGGCCGGGGCTAAATTGCCTCGGGGGTGTGTTGCTCGTATGCTCTTTCTCTTATATCTTGTATCTCGGGGGGAACAGTGGATACAAAATCGCGAAGTGATCTTTTTAGAACATAAATACTTTTCCCTGAGTGTCGTTGAAATAATGTTACGATTGGAAAGGAATAATATTATAATTA